AGCATTAACTGCAGGGTAAATAATGCAGACTATAAAACTTAGAAGGGTGATGGACATGCCTCTGTTGGAAATGGTCACACCTCACGGGTCAGAGTCCAAAATCAGGTCTGGCATATAAGCAGTATATTTCTAATGAGCAATATTCCTCAACTTCCTACTTAGACCTGAGCTTTAAAGCTAATTTGGCAACCAAAATAGTCTTTGAAGTAGTTTACATGTTTTGATTATCAAGTTCTTCAGAAACTCTGAAGAACTGATACCACTCAGGCTGTGTTTGCTGGAGTTCCAATCATCTCAAAATAATCAAAGAAGGAAAAGGAGGTAGAAACATCAGATTATCCACTTAGTAAAGCATGGGTTATGCTCATTCCTCATCCTGATCAGCTCAGGTTCAAAGGCTGGTGTCTCCTTACGGGTGTTTCACAGTCCAAAAAATAATTGTCTTACCAGTTCCTCATATAGAAGATTTCCCTCATAACTGTTGTAGGAACAATTTAGTTCTGTTGTTGCTTCGTGGTTGATCCCAATGAATACTGAAGTCACTGCCTTGTGCTAGTATCAATGATTAAAGTCATCAAAGAATCTCAGATTGCTATGACCACTCAGCTGCTTGAAACGTCAACATGTTTGTATTATTGTCTTCTGCATGATAAAGAAATGCATTTCAACAATACATTTTTTTTTTTACTTATGCTTTTCCCCTGTAAGACTGTATGACCATTACTAGCATGAAATTCTAGCTAGTATGAAACACTAGCATTTTCCACTTAATCTGGTCTCCTAAGAAATGCAGTACTGTAGAAAAGAAAGGAGGTGGGGAATCAAAGTGTCTCATTATCATTGATCAGTATCTTGCATATGTCTGTTCTCTAAGAGGCATATGTGTGCATATATGTGTATACAGATTATTTATGATAGAAGAAAAAAATATTTATATTAGAAATTCTATTCCATTATCAAACAGCACCTTCTCATTTTAAAAACATATTAATACCAAATTTATCAAAATATTGTCTTATGTATTTAAGACACAGTTTAGTGGTGGACTTGAATTATGTTAATGGTTGAACTTGATTTTAAGGGTATTTTTTTCAATTTACATGATTGATTCTATTTCAGTGTGTTCCTGAGAAGGCAGTTGAAAGATACATTCCAGATTTCTCACTAAGAGCATAAATGATTGAAATTTACAGTAGCAAAATCTTGCTCAAGTATTTCATAAGCAGCTGGAGCTGTATTTCACGAAGAGTGAGTTTCATCAAGTTAGTGATTTCAGGTTTCATGTTTTATTATTATTCTCAATTGAATTTTGTGGCTGTGATAATGATATATATCAAATTAATATCCATGCAGCAAAAGCTATTTCTTATTCTTAGGAACTTATTAATTTTTGAAATTGTCTTGAGTATTATGAAATTTGTTTTTTAGTGATTTGTATTTTCCAACAAATTTTGTTACTTTACAGCCTTGAAAAACAAGTGCATAGAGGAGGGTTCTTTTAATATTGAATAAGTAATATTTTCTTATTGATATATGTTGATTATATCTTACCAATATCTGAGCTTTATTTTCCTCCTTGTCTATATTATTTAATAAATCCCTCTAGTTTTATTAAATCAATTAAATTAATCAGTTATAGAGAGTAGGATTCCAATCCAGTAAACAAATATCAAATACAGGGAAAATATCAATATATCAAAATCTCTATTGATCTAGCTATCAATAGGGCATGACCCATCTGGTTCAGTTCTGTGGTATCAATCACCTTGTCATTTATAAAAACTGGAGCAAAACCACACAACTAACTTTTAAAAATTTTTGATTTCTTTACCAAGTTGAAGTGTAAAAGATCACACTATATATAATAAGGTAGAAAGATATAGTACATGTAGGTGAAAAAAAAGTTCTTTATCTGGCAAACAGAATGGAAGAATTTCTGCAGATAAATAGTGGCATTGATGAGGCATATCATCCTTAGACCAGGAGCAATGCTAGAAGTATTTATATTTCCTCTCCTTTTTTCTTTCATCACCTGTTCCTTCATCATTTAACTTCCATGTTGTTACCTTTGTTTTGACAGCTTATGGGGTGATTTACATTTGCTGCATGTATGTTTTTGTTCTCTTCATTACTCTATAAACCAGCTCTGCTCAGTTTCCAAGAATGCCTTCCTCTAGTGATCAGATATTGACTGTTTCTGTTTGCAGCTACATGTCCAGAGCCCTGGGCTCATCTGTGCCTGTATTGTCAAAGCATTTGCTGTTATCCTCTGCTCATGCACTTCAGGTACCCTGTTGCAACCTGTATTGTATCTATCTTGATGAAAAGATAGGCTGTATTTCTCTGTATGTGAAATTGCAATTATTGTGGGGATTTGCCAGTGTTCATCTTCTATTCTACCACTCCCTGCTGTCACAAGAACTACTGGGTCTAAAACTGAGGCTTGAGCAAAAGAAATCATTAAAAGAGAAATGCTCACCGCGTTTTGAATGAGTAGGAGCATAAAAAGAGCTGATCTGCAGCATATGTTGAAACAATGACAGAATTGAAAGACTGGAGTATTTGTTGTGGGTGTGCTCAGACTATGGAGCAGGTATGCAGGTCAGCACTACTCCTGTGATACTCTGAAGAGCCTTCCTGCTTATGATTTTCTTTTAGCAGAGAACTGTTTACTGTCATGGAGCTGGCACATTGTAGTGAATCCAGTTCCACATCCATGATCATAAGCCAGAAAATACTGCTCTGCCTCACTGCATGTAGAAAGAGTGACTGAGCAGTTATACTTTCCCAAATTCTGGACTGACCAGAACACTCTCAGAGAATAAATATAATTACATGGTAAATAAAATGCAGAAAAAACTCTAAAGCCCTGGATTTGACAAAGCCCTGTTCTAATGGAGGTTCTGGAGCTATTTTGCCACTGAGTTGTGTTACACACTTCAGGAGAGTGCACCAGAACCTTCTAGTTAATGGACACTGGTGTTGTATTAGTTTTGTCCACATGCATCTGTAAAATCACCATGTTTTTTATAGGATGCAAACCAGACTATTAGAAAAGAACTTGAAACAAAATTATTTTTCTGGATGTGTTTTATATCTGTAGGAAAGACATTCATCTCACTTTGCCTCACTTTCTTATACTTTTGCAAATTTTGTTAAACAGCAAAATATTAGGCCCAGAATGATACTGTCTAAAAATCAATTCAGTGTTGATATGGAGAGGTTAAAAAAATGCTACAATCCATGTAGAGTTCCAAAAAGAACTTTGGCATTGGTATAGAATATTACAACATATAATTTACTGGCAGGTGGTCCGTAGAGCAGGGTTCAGAGCCCGCAGATGTCCTCAGGAAGTGTTGACTGCACACACACTGGACAGGAAATGACTGGCTTAGTTAACAGTTCTTCAGAAAATATTTTGGCTCATGAGTCAACAATATCATGCTGTTGAGAAATAAAAAAAGCAGCACACAGATGTATATGAACAGGGAAAACAAATTAAAATAAAAAAGAATAACTGAATGGTATAAAAAGATAAATAGAGAAAAGAGAGAAAGAAAGAGAAAGAAAAATAACTAAAGAGAAAGAAAGGGAGAAAAGAGAGAAAGAGAGAGAGAAAGAGAGAAAGAAAAAAAGACTTGCTGTATACAATACACAGAGAGATGACTTCCAACCCTGAAGATGCTCCAACTTCAAGAACAGGAAATACTTTCAAAAAGCAATAGAGTAATCTCTTATGGCAGATGGGAAGTAAAAAAAAGCTTAAATTGCAGTGAGACAATGCAAATCTTGCTAATGATAAGAGTGGTAGCCATTAAACCGACTGCCTAGAAAAATAAGAGCCTTTGTCACTGAAAATCTGATGGAACAAAATCTGAGGAGAAAAAAAAGCCTGAAAAATATAGGAAAAAGAAATGGAAATTAGAGACTGAAAGAGGTTTTTCGACCACATTAATTTTTGTATATAAACACTTGAATTTTGTTCCAACTTCAAAGATGTATATTTTGAGCCTGTATTCAGTAACACTATATCCCATGACCATTTCCTAAAGAACATATCACTCTCTGTATTTAGCATCAAACAAAAATTTTCATGATTTCTAAAATAATGTCCTAGGCATGATCACAGAAAATAGTTTTATGTCTATTTCATCTCTGTGGTCAAATGAATCCTTAAAAATATTTGCTTAATTAGTGTGTTATGTGCATTTTCCCTCTATAGCCCCAAATCTGGTTATTATGGTATTCATATGGAGGACAGAGCTTTCATCTTCCACCTTCTGGCAGAGGAAGATACTGAATATGGTCTCCCGTTATCTGAAGTTTGGATGTATGCTCTAGATCAATTTGAGATATTGAATTATGTAAGTCCCAATTCTTCTATCTTTACTTTCCTATTAATTTATTCAGTATTACTGCTGTTTCAAAAACACACACATAGAAAAATTAACACTAAAAAACCTATTGAAAGTACTGTTATTTTCAATGACATTTGCTGATTTTACATAGACATAGTCAGTTTACAACGCTTATTGACAGTTGCTGAAGTTATAGATTTTTAATCCAAAATGCTTTGATGTCATTGTCAATAACTATTCTATACAGAGGCTTGAAAATTAAAATGTTATTTTAAAAGGTAAAAATTTCAATACCAATTTCCATGAAATGCTGGTATTTAAACAGAATGCCATTTTCAAGAATAACCTTGAGCTCAGCTTTGAAAAGAGAAAATCTTTCCTGTTTTCTGTGACAAATGTGAAGAGTTAATGCTTGGGAAGTGCAGAGATAAATACTTATTGATGACTCAGTTAACATCTTGGAGTGAGCAGAGTATAAACAGGCAAAATATGTCTTCTTTTTTATAGCTCAACTAGCAAGAGAATGCAGTATTAAAAAAAGGAAATGAAATGAAATCAAAACAAACAAAAGACAAACTCTCAAACTGTGGTGCTGATGACTCATTTTCAACCTCCTTTTCAAATTGTCACTTTATTTTCTAGTCTGGACTCCTCACCCGCAACTGCTTGAGTGACATTTATAAATGAAAATATGGGACTTAATTAGGTAAGAACTCCTAACGTTTTGTGTGCACCTTACATGTATTTAATTCCATCTTTGGATGTGGAAGATAAGCTGTTTCTGGGGGAGGCGAAGGGCGCTGGATGACAGTGAAGTGCTGAGTGCCAGGGCGCACAGGCGGTGCTCCGCGCCAGGCTGGGGGACTGATGCCACCGAGCCCTCCGTGCGCAGAGCCCGCCCAGGGGACACGGCTGTCGGGAGCATCCTCCACCTGGACTCAGCCTGAGACTTACAGTAGCTGCTGGATGAGTGAAGAGAACCATCAGCTCCACAGCAGCCCAGCAGCAGCTGGAATTGCAGAGGAATTTCAATTAGTCAGGTGACAATCAGATGCAGTCCCCAAGGAGACAGCTACCACCTCTTCTGCACAGTGCTCAGTCACTGCTGCAAAAAGGTCAGTTGTGACACCACGTACAACATCAGGTGTAAAAGTAGCTACTTGGAGACACTTGTCCTCTCTGCATAGTTTAATTTAAAAACTGAGATCTTCTATTCCGTGTTTGAATATGAATGAGTCAGTCGTAAACAAAGAACTAAAATAGATGAGTCTGGCGTGGAGAGGTAGCTGAGTCATTCTATAAACCCTGTCCCTTAAATGTAATGGCAGAGGTTTTCTTTTTTGACACAATAATTGCTATTTTAGCTTAATGAGCTATGAGACTTTTACAGCTAAATGGCTCCTTAAAATTACTGTCCCATTCAGTGCCTCCACTTTTAAACTTTTCTATCCATGATTTTACTTCTTGATCACTGTGAAAAGAAACGAAAAATATTTTCCTAAGGAGCTTTATTTTGAGTTTAGCTATTTATTTAAATAAACAGTGTTAGAATTTTGTACCTCTTTATTGCATGAAGGTAGCATTTCTTCATTGTACTATACCTCTTATGTCATTTAAAAGGGGTACACAATCAAATGTTGGTATTAAATCTTTGGAGTTTTGATTCAGAGGAAGAGGTGAGCACAGAAGAGAATTGTTTCTAGTGTAGATTAAAATAGCTAAAATATTACTAGAAAACATTAAAGGTTTCAGCAAACATATCCGCTGTTTGAATGAGAAAACTTTACACAAAACATGAAATAAATTTTCTTTTCCTTTCTCACTACAACTTTGAAAAGACAACATATTAATAAAGCAATATTATTCCACAGAAACTGATAAAATTTATCTTCTTTATACTTATATATTTTATTTATACTTTATTCTTCATTATACTTATATACGATATTATATGTATGCTTTAAAATAAAAGAAAAAACTTATTATCTTAAAATACCTTACCTAAAAAGATTTACTGCTTTAAAAGGCTAAATAAATAGTAATGCCATCTAATAAATACCTGGAAAAAAACTAATACTGTTTTGGATGCATATTTCCACTAAAAAAATTACTGCAAGCAAAACAAAAATCTAAGTCAGAACATGTTCTTCCTGTTACCCTTGATAACATTAGTAGTAGTCACATAAGACAGGATACATAAAATCAGCAGAACAGGACTTTCCAGAGTAACAGGTTGCAACATTAGTTAGCAAACACTATTCTTGAGTCTCATTCACTATTGCTGAGTATAAAACAGCTATTTTACTGCATTCAGAACTGATAAATTCTTGGCATTTCAAATGCGGGCTGATGCAAGTTCAAGCAGTGGTTCAACTAAAGAGATTCCCAGGAAAGCAGGCGGCTTTTCAAAGGTCGGGAAAAATCAAAAACCAAAAAGAAGATGAAAGTGTTACATATATTTAGACTAAGAAAAGGAAAAGACAGTAGCAGTGTTCATATGTATAAAACATAGCTTTTAAGGAGTTTATGCTTTCTCAAAACTCATTTCAGATCAGACATTACACAGCAGAAGGGAAGGTCTGTGTTGGGATGTGCAGCTGTGCAGTACTCCAGCTGTTTGTCCGGAGGCTGTGGCAACACCCTCCAATCCTCTTCCTCAGAACAGGCTGTAAAGGTGTTTGTTCAGAAACGTCACAGATACAGCTGGCCCAACATTTGCAAAGGAGGTGGGAGTAAAACCTCTCTTCTAATTTCAACAGCCTCAATTTCTGCTGTTTTGGTGATTTTATTATCCAGCTTCATTATACATATTATTACGAAGAAAATAAAATAACAAAATAATTAATTCAGAAAGTTGAATTCAAAGCAAAATTTTTGAAAAAAATAAAACACAGGGCTATTTCCTGGAAATTAACACTTTCATTTAAAATTTGCAGCAAGTATTTCCAGATTGAAATAATATTTTATCTTCAAATGTTCTAACTTTCCCATAATTATTATATTATTACTCTATATAATTATTTCATTGCTTGCACACTGGCATTTTGCACATCATATATGTAAATACCAGTATTAAGTATACCAGTAAATACCAGCATTAACAACAAGTTTGATAAATATAGTTTCATTGTGCCAGCTTGGGCTAGTGACAGGTTTAGAAATTTCATGCCAATCCAACTAAATACTACAAAATATAGCTGTGATTTCTTTTTCTTTTTTTGATCTCCTTAAATATTCTAAATTGCTCAATGAGGATGAGACAAATTATAAATTAATTTTAAGAACTATAATGGATGGCAATTACATCTGTATTAATTCATATTTTCATTATTCAGATTATCCTTACAATAGATATTCTGCTCATTGTTCTCATGACAGTTTGCCAGGGAAGTGCTGTATCAGAATGCTAATAACTTGCCACATCCCCTCTTTGACAGTTGATAGTAAACCTCAAATATATGATTTTACTGATATTCAATAGGTTTGTTCAGCAGGTCCATATCACTTTGAAGTTGTAGAAACCCACATTTTGATATCTATTCCCTCTAAGAATAGAATAGATGTCAAAATACAGAAAAAGTTGGACCATGCTTTTTAAATTACATTTAAAAAAAATACCAAATATTGCAATTTAAGCATATCATTTAAAACTAAAAGATTAAGAATATACTAGACCATTTTTAAAATAAACCATTCCTATAGTTCATCTAGGAAATTTATGTGTGCTCACTGAAGTCCCATACATTTTATCTGATAAATATTTTTATCTAATATTCAAGCAGCTAAACATCACATGTGCTTTTAATCAAAATCAATTCAACCTTTGTCTTGCCATGTATTTCCTCAATAATTGAGCAGATTTTCTTTGGTTAAATTCTGTTTAGAAATAGGGTATCTTAGAAAAATGTAATTGATTTATTTGATATTGATATTAATATACTCATGCACATAGTCCAGAGCTGTATCCATCTCTGGGGTCCCCAGGAGGGGAAGGACATTGAACAGTTGGAGCAAAACCAGAGGATGGCCACCAAGTTGATTAGTGGGATGGAGCACCTTTCTGACACAGAAAGACTAAGATAATTGTATTGTTCAGCCTGTAGAAGAGAAGGCAACAGAGCAACCTCATCGTGTCCTGCTAGTACCTGAAGGAAGCCTACAGGAAAGCTGGAGAGGGACTTTCTACATGAGCATGTAGTGACAGGCCATGGGAGAATGGCTTCAAACTGAAAGAGAGTATGGTGAGATTCAATATCAGAAAGAAATTCTTTGCTGTGAGGGTGGTGAGGCACTGGAACAGGTTGCCCAGAAAAGTTTTGGATGCCTCATCTCTGAAAGTGTTCAAGGCTAGGTTGGATGAGGCTCTGAGCAACCTCCTTTACTGAAAGGTGTTCTTGCTGTGTTGGGAGGGTTAGATCCAGATGGACTTTAAGGTCCCTTCCAACCCAAATCATTCTATGATACTAGGATATCAATTACCCAGAATAATTTTGCATATTCATTGTCAGCATGCACATAAATGAAGCTGGTGGATAATCATCCCACTCTGTAAAATATAAATATTCATTTGATTTTAAGTTCACTGTCTTCAACATTCTGGCTTTCTTAAATGTGAGAAAGTGTTTAAGTGCTAGGCAGTGATGGGGTCCAAAGCGATTAATGAGTAATTTATTCAGCGTGAAAAGATAAAAATAAGAAGCATGCTGCTAATCATCTAACCTTAATTTCTACAATTCACCAAACTCCCAAATTCATGAGAAACAAACTTAATCTTGGAACCAGACTGAAATAAATTTTTGTGGATCAAAAGTTGATTCTGTGTTTGGATGAGAGTAAATTAACTGATCTTTGTGGAGTGGATTATTATGGTTTAAAAGAAACCAGATGAAGCAAAGGACAAGACGAAGGATTCAATTAGTCTTGGATTTGACAGAACTTACTGGAACAATGGAATTGGCATGAGAAATAAAACTTCCTTTCTACTTTATCAGTATCCTTCTATAGGGAAAATTCCAGCATTTCTTATTAGTTTCTTGGAGGCTGTTGGCATAAAACAGAGGGGTTGCATAGAAATTCTGTCTTGAAGAATTGAATTTGAGACAAGGTCAGGATGTTCACCTACTTATTTCAGCCCAAGATGTTGTTTTTGATGGAGACATCTTATCTGCCTAAGCATTTGGCACAAACATTTCATTTTATTAATTTAGTGTTATTTGAAAACAGGAAGGAGTTCAGGGCAAAAGAGGAGATATATATACTTTTACAGACTTGGGTCACTTTTTGTTTCTTGTTCTAACATAATTTACATTGGAATATAACTCAATAGTACTAAATTCAGCCTACTGAAGCACTTCTGCCTGTTGAATCCTAGATAGCAGATGAAGCCAAATGCCACAGGAGTATGAATTAGTCATGTTTCTGCTCTCATGATCATCATGAACCTGGAACTCTTTGAAGCAGTAGTAAGGAAATAATTCATCTCCCCGGTCCCTTTGTCAGTTAATTCAAATGTCAATGGACAATTAGAGTTTCTGCACTACAAAGTTCTTTACTATATCAATCTTTATGGCTCTTCAGCAGCCTCACCTAAGAATCCAAAAACTTACATTTTGTGAATCCTTAAAAAAATAAATTGCCCCAATACTGAGATAATTCACATAATAAAGCTGCATATCAGCCCAACTTAAGTGACTATATCTTATAGTC